GCGCCGAGCGGCGTCACCTTTTTGAGCTCGGCCGGGGGCGGCAGCTTCGCCCGCAGCTTTGCCAGCGGACCGCCCTTGCCGTCTCCGGCAGCCGCGGCCTGCATCGACAGTTGAGCGGAGCGGGCAGGCGCAAGCCGCGGCATGGCCTGCGGCCTCATCCCATATGCGGCAGCCAGCGGCGCGACGGGAGCGCGGGCGAGGGCGAGAGCGTGGGCGTGGCCGGCGACGAAAAGGGCGGCGGTCAAGCGGAGTACTCTCATGTGTGTATGTGTATGTGTGTATGCTCGGTGCTCGGAGCCGCCCGCCAGTCGTCATCAAGGGCGCGGGGTTTTCTTTTTAAAAATCCCTCCCGAACTCCTCCACCTCCCTGTCCCCCCGCCCCTCTCCCTCTCCGCCTCTCAGCAGCCTGCCTCATTTCAGGGGTACAGCGGCTGGACGGCCCCGCGCGCACCAGCAATATTACATACACATTAGTGACCGAAACTAACTGACCTCGGCATGCAGTCACTCAGTCACGCGAGAACCTCCTCGAGGTCAGCCATTGCGAGGGCTGCATGTGTGGAGACGTACTTCGGGTGGTGCGCAAGTCGGCTCCAATACTCGACCGCCGACCGCAGGCGAAGCCAGCGGCGCACTTGCTGCCAGAGCACGTAGCCGTTCGGGCGCGCTGCCTCACACCGCCGGCAGCAGGACTTTTGCCGAAGCAACCTCGCTCGGTCCCCACGCGTCTTTGTGGTTGCACTCGTTGATTGATGTAAGGCAGCTCGAACCACTCGCGCTCCGGTCTGCTGTCGAAGCACCATGTCACAAATTCGGGGCGGAATGTGTCTCTTGTTCTCCGGATGCAGACTATAGTCGAGCGCGTCGGAGAGGTGTTTCGACACCGAGTGTTTTGAACGTTTCTTCGTAGAAGAAATCGTCGACAGAAAAATTCTCTCGCCGGTGTTCACAGAGCTCTGTGAACACCGGCTACTCGGCCTTAGCCGCCGGTACGTCAACAGTGCGATAGCCAAGTATCGCACTGTTGGGTCCCGATGGTGTCCCATCACAAATTCGTGCTGTCGACAGATCATGTCCTTTGGTCGACTGCACCCGCCTTTGGACGGTTCTCCGACATGCTTAGATGAGTCTTTTTTTGTCTTTTTGGCTCGCCTGGTCTTCACCAGTGCGAACATATTCTTGCTCGTAGGAGTCGCTCGTCTTTTGTCCGAGCAAACGTGCGCCCGATCGCCCCATTAAGCACGTGCGAAGGGTATCCGAGTGCCGTAAACTCCCTGAGCTTGCTCGTCACGCTGAGCGCGAATCCCTCGTCATCGCTCGCCATCGCGACCACCTTGAGCAGGCATCCAACCACGATGCCCGCCTTCATTTTAGCGCATGTGAAGCTATCCCAACGATGGTAGCGCCACACTCGCGGTGCCGTCTCGCAGCCCTCATTAACGTTCTTGAGTCTCGTCCGGAAACTTCCGCTTTGGTCGAGCTCAAGAGTCGTTTCCAAAAAATGGGTGCTCTCGGCGGCTTCCAGCTTCAACGGGGCCCAGTAGCACTCCGAACGACGGAAATCATCCCGGAAACGATCAACATCCCATGCGCTATCGTCCTTCGCAGTCACCGTGATCACATCGTCCATGTAGCGCTTCATACGGAAACGCGCTTTCGCATCATCTTCGAGCGTTTGCATCCACTCGTGCTCCATCCACGCAAGAGTCCCTATCGCCAGCGGTGGCGATAGTGCACTCCCCATCGGGATACCTCGGGCCTGCTTCAGCAAACGTCCGTCATATGTGATTACGTAGCAGTTATCCAGATCGAATTCGATAACCTCGAGCATCGTCGAGAAGCTAATCGATGCGTGTCCCCACACCTCTCCTTGCTGCGCCCACGAGCACTTCTTCTTGCCTCTTTTAGGCACAAGTATTTTCGGGTCCTCTCCCGCGCCCGGCGGCAGATTCTTGCGCACATCGCCTAGAATGTCCCTCATCGCTACCCGCATTGCTTCTTTCGGCATGCTTGGGTAACAGCTGTCGACGTCGTTAATCTCGTAGCTAAGTTCGCCCTTCCCTCGGAGCGCCTCGGCCGCTTCTCTCAGCATTTGGGGCACACTTTGGCAGTCGTGTTGAATGAAGTGTTCACCCTTCAGGCGCCGGAGTGCGAAACTCCACGCCCGGCCCACGAGGCTCAAAAACTTCGCCATCGGATGCTTCGCGTACGGCGTGATCGGCCTCGCTTTGTGCAGCTTCCGAGCTCGTACTGCCGGGTCAGTCACATTCTTTGCCTTATACAGCGCGTATGGCGCAGTTACCCTTCCTTTGCTATCGAATTTGGTGATCTTATGCCATCCCTTCTTTCTGTAGAACCATCGCCATGCAGAGATTAGCGTCGCGTCGAGCGTTCCGTCCGTACTCAGCTGGTTCGCCCGTACCCGCGACCAGGTGTCACAACGGGCAGTTCAGAATTCTATGTGGCGCATTTAATAAAATCGAACACACCCGGGCGCGCACTCTTCGACTTGGGCTATTATCTGGCCTCGGGAGGGCGGCGGCGGCGGTGTAGGGGCGGCGGCGAGCTCCCGGTGGCAAATGCTCGCCTCACAGTCCAAGATGGCGGCTCGCGCCCCCGGCCGTGCTCTGGCGTGCCTCTCTAGTCCCGCCTGCCACCCAGATACCGAGGGCGGCGCGCACTCTTCGACTTGGGCTATTATCTGGCCTCGGGAGGGCGGCGGCGGCGGTGTAGGGGGGCGGCGGCGAGCTGCCCGGTGGCAAATGCTCGCCTCACAGTCCAAGATGGCGGCTCGCGCCCCCGGCCGTGCACCAGCATGCCTCTCTAGTCCCGCCTGCCACCCAGATACCGAGGGCGGCGCGCACTCTTCGACTTGGGCTATTATCTGGCCTCGGGAGGGCGGCGGCGGCGGTGTAGGGGCGGCGGCGAGCTGCCCGGTGGCAAATGCTCGCCTCACAGTCCAAGATGGCGGCTCGCGCCCCCGGCCGTGCTCTGGCGTGCCTCTCTAGTCCCGCCTGCCACCCAGATACCGAGGGCGGCGCGCACTCTTCGACTTGGGCTATTATCTGGCCTCGGGAGGGCGGCGGCGGCGGTGTAGGGGGGCGGCGGCGAGCTGCCCGGTGGCAAATGCTCGCCTCACAGTCCAAGATGGCGGCTCACACGCCCAACCATACTCTGGTGCGTCGATTGGGTCGCGTCTGCTGCCCGTGTCTCTGTCTTATCGGCACGACGACAACAAGCTACCCCTAACCCTAACCCTAACCCTAACCCTAACCCTAACCCTAACCCGAAGAACTCGGAGCATTCACCGAGAGCTCGCGTCAACGGACCGCTGGTTCCTCCATTCCGACCCGAAGCGGCCCGTTCTTAGGAGCTGCACAACGGCTTGAACTCTCTGACCCTAACCCTAACCCTAACCCTAACCCTAACCCTAACCCTAACTAACCCTAACCCTCGGCTGTGGGTCAGGCTGGCTGTATAAGGCGCGCGAGGCTGGGTGCTTTGCTACCTTGCTTGTGTCTCCCGCGGCCGGGACGGTTGGTTGGGTGGTGGGGGTGGGTCGGTGAGTGGGGGTGGGTTTCCTCGCCTCTCATCAGCCGGGCCGTGAGGTGGGTGGGGCTGGGGGTGGGTGGGTGGTGCCAAGCCTCAGCCAGGCCGTGAGGTCGGTGGGGTGGGTGGGTGGTTCCAAGCCTCAGCCGGGCCGTGAGGTGGGTGGGTGGGTGGGTGGCTCAAGAAGCTCGTGCACGTGAACGGCGGCGTAGAGGCACGTGGTTCGAGAAAAAAAGCAACAAAGTGCACACACCACACACACGCAGGCTCGCTTGCGCTGGACTCGCTCGTGTAAGGGCGTACACAGACGCCCTTGCTCGTGCGTGCTCTCTCGCACACTCATGACGCAGCCTCAGCCCTTCCCGCGGCTCGTCTCGGCACGCGACTGGATGCGCGAATTCTTCCTCGGCGTGAGCGAGCCTCACCTCCTCGCCGACCGGGCTCGCCACGTTGTGTGCGATGGTGGCGGCGAGCTCTGCTTCCGCCACGCCGATGGCGAGACCCTGTGGCGCGCGGGCCGTTTCGAGTGTCCGACCGTCGCTGAGCTGAGACGGCGCCTCGCGGAGCAGCAGCACGTCGCGGTGGACGCGCTTCCAATCACAGTCGCAGACGGCGTCGACATCGGCCGCCTGCAGGCGTCCCTCACGACCGAAGACCGCGCGCTGGTGCAGGTCGCGAGCAATTTCAACGCGCTGGAGGTGCCCTCACGTGGCGTTCCGCCCGACTACGGCGGGCTCGTGACCGGTTACGCGACCGACTCCACGCAGGGGCCCGCCGCTTCCTTCGGCGTGCCTGCCGCGAGCCTGCTGCGCGCTCACTTCCCGTTCTTCGACGGCGCCGCGCCCGCCTCCTCGTGGGGCCAGACGGCGGAGCGGCAGGTGGAGCTGCTGGGCGAGCTGCGAGAGGAGTACGGCCGCTGTGTCAACGGCAAGGCGACGCTGCGCCGCGGCGGCGGCGCCCCTGGAGAGGACGCCGCCGCGGCCGTGGCGGCGCTGTCGGGCCGCATCCGCGTGGGCTGGCACGTCGACGCCGAGGTCGTCTTCGACCGCGGGCCGTCGCGAGGCACGCTGGCGCTGCTGCCGGAGGGGGAGCGGCCTCTGGTGGACCAGGTGCTCAGCGCGGCGGTCAACCTCAACGACCCGCTCAACGCGCCGCGGAGCGACGCGCGGGAGACCACGCGGCGGCTGGTGGCGGCGGCGCTGTCCGCGGCGTACGAGGGCGCCTACCTCGCGGCCGCCCTCCGCGGGAACCGGCTGCTGCTGCTCACGCTGGTTGGGGGCGGCGTGTTTGGCAACGACGAGGCGGCGATCCTCGACATATTACCACATTATCGCCGAGGCGCACGCGCGGTGGGCGCCGTGCTCGTCGCTTAGAGAGGTGAGGCTCTGCCTGTACCAGAGGGACGCGGCCGCCGCCGTGGACGCGGAGCTGCGGAGGAGGCTCGAGGCGCGGGGAGCGGAACGCGACATCGTGCCGCGGTAGACAACTCTGCGAAGCGAACAAAACAACTCACGGGCGGCGTCAGGGCGACGTCCACAGAAGGCATTTTCCGCTCTTTTGACCGCGCAAGATAAAAGGGTGGCTAAGGGCTCTGCCCGCAAGGCGCCCGCGTCGCCGACGCGGTACCATTGACATTTGACTAATCTCGGCCGCCGGACCGAATACACCCACACGTGTGTGTCGACGTGTGTCACACGACCAAATAGCGAAAATCCGAATACCGTGCAAAAACCACGGAAATTGAGCACAAGAAGGGGCAAGTTCGGCTAACTCCATAACATGGGCGCACTTGGAGCACTTGGAGAGTGCAGTCATCAAAGGCCGGGGAGCGTTTTTGATCTCTCGGTGAGTGGGGGGCCGAGCCGGGCCGACGTTTTTTGATCTCTGGGTCAGTGGGGGGCCGAGCCACCTCGGGGTGGCGGGCGGGCGGGCGTTTTGAAAAACAGAAAACAGAAAACAGAGGGGGGCCAGGGCCCCCACTACGATTAGACACAAGCACCAGGCTCCTGGGACAAAGCGAGCAGCAGCAGCAAGCAGTTCAGCGGAGAAGGGGGGGGGGGAGGAGCCGTTGCGCAGCCAATGAAGCCCGCAATGGCCTCGCCGTACGAGCGCAGCTTCTTGGCCGAGAGGCGCGAGTCCAATGGCTTTGCGCCGTGGTGGTCCTCATTGTTGAGCGGCGTGGCACGACGAGGTGGACGCGGCCTGCCAGTCGCAGCGGGCTCGGATCGGAGTCGTCAAACGGAAGCACGTATTGCAGACCCGCCGCGATTGCAGAGAGAATGCGCTGGCCCGAGGCATTCGCATCGAGGACTGGAAAGCTCAAGCCGTCTCGCTGCAAGTTCGACAGCAGCGCGCGAAGGAGGCGGCAATCGTAGCGGTCGCCGTCGGGCGCAGGCGGCAGCGCCCTCGGCGTCTCGGCCTGGGTTTGCATGAGTCGCGTCATCGCATTTGGACGCATGCCGGGGGTAGCAGGGGAATCCTCGGCGGTCGCCAGCACTTTGATGTTGCAGCCAAACATGTCTCGCAGAATGCCGACTGTTGTCGAGGACGGTGCCGGTGCCCGAAAACTCCGTCGTCCGAAAGCACTTGACGGTGCTGGCCGTGAGCTTGCCAGCAGCAATCTCCGGCTCGGCTCTCTCGAGTGCGTCGCTGACGACAAGGGAGAGAGCCACCTCCGCCTCGTGCATGCGGCCCGATTGGTGATGCTTCTTGCCAAGCTCGACGCGAACGACGACGGGCACCTTCGGCGCCATGCCGGAAAGGGGCACGCGCCTCTGAAGGTCGAGGCGCGTGGCTCAAAGCCGGCGCTGCGCGGGTGCGTGACCATCGCCGCAACCAAGACATGTTTTTGCTCGCCCGACCATCGCATGCACATGTGCATGTGCATGTCATGTGCATGTGCGAAGAGGGCTTCAACATTCAACAAACAGGAATCGAGGATGACCGCATGTCTGCATCAGACGTGTCATCCGTCCCGATCGTGACCAACCAAAGCCACCCCTCTTCTCAGATCCGCGCTTGCCCGGATCCTGAACCCTCTGCCGCTCCCAGCCGTGCTCGCCGAGCCTCCGCCACCTCCACCTCCGCCGCCCCACCCCCCCTGCGCGCGGGCCTTCTAGGCCCGCGGGTAGTCTCCCCCCATCCCCAGGGCCTCCAGGGCGCTCGCACCTCAAACCTTTCATAGACCAGCGCAAAGCGCCATAGGACGTATTTTCTTGTCAATAAACAGGTCTGTGCATGTTGTGCAACATGCACATGCACATGCACATGCACATGCACATGAACATGCACATGTTGTATGCACATGTACATGTTGTGCATGTGCTTGTTTTTTGGATGCAGACGACCGTTTTTGGTCGCAGACGACCGTTTGGGGTCACTCACACCCGCACGAGGTAGGCGGCCCCTAGCGCCGCTCTCGCAGGCTGTTTGTGACTGTTTCTGCATTTTGTTTTTGTTTTCAGTCTAGGGGGCCCGACCCCCTCAGAGGCGGCGGGCGGGCGTTTTGAAAAACAGAAAACAGAAAACAGAGGGGGGGCAGGGCCCCCACTACGATTAGACACACGCACCTGGCTCCTGGGACAAGGCGAGAATCGCAGTATGCAGTTCAGCGGAAAGGGGGGGGGGGGGAGCCGAGGGGGCGACGTCCCGACACGGCAGTTGGAGCTGACCCCGGGAGAGAGAGAGAGCAGCGATGGCAGCCCCAAATGACCGTAGACAGAAATGACGAGCCGACAGCGATGCAGCGGCAGCGCGAAGGCGGCGAGGAGGGCCCGCGCTGCAGAGCTCCGAGACGCTGGAGAACAGGCGCCCGCCCGACGCCTTCTTTGCCATGCCGGCGAGGGCCAGGCCGCCCTCCCCGCGCATTGCGCGCACTAAACCAGTGCGCGCATGCGCGGCGAGAACCAATGCAGCGATGGACATCTCGCTGCAGGCGCTCGCGGGGCCGTGAGTGGGGGTCCCCACTCTGCTGCCCCTCTGACTATACTTTTGTCTGTGGTGATGCCTTTCAAACTCTGCCTTTCCCTGAGAACGCACACAACGCCTCGTGTGTATTGCCCTGTGTTCCGCGAGTGCGTGTGCCCCGTCGTCCATGCTAGGACGTGTGTAACACTGACTTACTCATGATGCACGGCCGCTACGCAAAAAAAGAATACACACGTGCAAGCACCTGACTCGCTCAAGCGAGAGGCAAGTAACTGTGCACGACAGGATTCCGGCATGCCGGCGCGCGCCTCGTGGGCGACTCCGCCAGAGGTCGAGTCGCTCTCGCACGGGGACCGGATGCGACTGGCCCGGCTGCGCGAGATCAAGGCGCTGCTCGAGCGCAAGCAGCATGCGACAGAGGCCCGAGCCCCGACGCCGCCGCCACCACAGGCGCCGGTGCCGGCGCTGCACCGCCCACGCAAGCCCTCCCACCCGGAGCAAACGCTGCGGCCGGCCATCTCTCCGGCCGCGCTGCGGCGCGGCCTCGCTCTCTCCCGCGCACGCGCGCAGCGGGCTGGCAATGCGGCGAAGCTCAACGTACTCCGCACTGGGGACGGCGCCGCCGCCTTTGAGCGGCAGATGCGCATTCGAGCCTACGCCAAGGTTCAGCGCCGCTTGAACGGGATCGCCGTTCCCTCCGCGAGCGGCCGGCGAGACCGATCGCCGAACCGCGAGATTGAGACGCAAACCGACGACGCGCCCCTTCCTGCGTGGACGACCGACGCACAGCAAGGCGTTTCCAGTAGCAGCGGCGGCGGCGGCGGCGGAGGAGCCGGCAGCAGCGGCGGCGGCGGCGGCAGCGGGGGCGGCAGCGGAGCCGGAGGAAGCGGAGCAGCCCGGGGGGAAGGTGCCGGCGGAGGCGGCGGTGGTGGCGGCGGTGGTGGCGGCGGCGGCGGTGGTGGCGGTGGTGGCGGCGGCGGTGGGGTCAGCGGCGAGGATTGGGTGCGTAGCGGTGGCGGTGACGACGAGTGGAACCGGACGATGCTTGCCTGCGACGAGCAGGCCCTGGACAACCTTGCCGAGGCGGGACCTGCACGCCTCGAGAGAACGAGACGCAGCTGTCCTCCTCACGCGCCCCCCTCTCGCCGCAGGCGGACCTCGCGTACCTCGAGATGGTGCGCACCAAGGCGGGGCTGCACCACCAGACGGCGGGCGCGCTCGCCACGTCCGAGGCGGAGCAGGCGCTGGCGGAGAGCTGGCAGCAGCTGATCCTCCTCCGGCTCAAGAGCCAGAAGCTGCAGCTGCAGCAGCGCGCGCGGCCAATGACGGCGGAGCAGCGCGCTGCCATCGAGGCCGACATCATGCAAGAGACGTCGCGGATCGCAACCACGCTCCAGGAGCGTCTCCACCCTCTCCGCACACGCACCGCAGCCTCCCTGGCTTGTTGACCCTTGAACCCCTCGCCGCCGCAGGAGCAACTCTCGTCGCTCCGCGTCGCCACCGAGGATGGAAGCGGCGGCGGCGGCGGCGGCGGCGGCGGCGGCGGCGGCGGCAGTGGTGGCGGCGGTGGCAGTGGTGGCAGTGGCAGTGGCGTCGCTGACGGCGGTGTCGCTGGCGGCAGCGACAGCCAGCTGGGCTTCGCCGAAGCCACCAGCGCTGCTTCCGCGGATGCCACCGACGCAGACAACGTCAGTGCAGCGCCTTCGGCGGCCCCCTCGCGGCAGCTCCACTCTCTGCTCGAGGAGGGCTGCGGCGCTGCTGGAGCAGAGCCAGGGGCGGAGCGAGGGGCGGGAGGGGCAGAGCGAGGCGGCGAGGCGTCGTCGCCCGGGAAGAGCGGCTCGCAAGAGACGGAGCTCGCAGCCGCCGCCGCAGCGGTGGCCGCGGCGCTCGTCAAGGTGATGCCATCGAGTGCAGTGCCACCGAGTGCGGTGCGCTGCGAGGACAGCGGCGCCCGTGACGCGCCCCCGCAGCGTGCAAGCAAGGCGCGCGCTTCCGAGCGGTCAGAGCGGAGGGAGCGAAGGCAGCAGCGGGGACAAGAGCGGAGGCAGGAGCGGAGGCAGGAGCGGGGCGGGGCGAGCGGATTGCGCCGGCCGAAAAGCGCGCCGCCCTCAGTCCGCCGGCCAACAGCCTCAGCCAAGGCTCTGCCCCCAGCCAAGCACCCGACGTCGCGCCAGCGCCCGTCGAGCTCCCCGCGCCAACTCGCGCCGTCGGGCAAGAGCCGCCCGTCGAGGCCGCCGTCCGCACCGGGCGGAGGCACGCGCGGCGGCGGCGGAGGAGACGGTGCGGCCAGCGCCCTCCGCATGAGGCGAGCGCTTTCGCGCGCCGAGCGGGCGCTGCTCGAGGAGGACGCAAAGCTCAGCCGGCTGCAGATCCGCTCCTTGCGCGGCGCAGAAGGGGTCGGCAACGGCGCTGCTCTGCGTGGAGAGCGCGAGCTTCGCAGTTTGCACGCCGCGCTATCGCACTCTCACTCGCTGCTCGCGTCGCTGCAGTCGGAGCTGGCCGTCTTTGGTGCGTGCTCGCACAAGGATGATTCGCCGTACGCGCAGCCCAACGGAGCGGCTCGAGCCCCTCGCGCAGGCAAGGCGCCCGCCACGCCGCTTTCTGCTGGCGGCGCGGGGCGTGGTGGCAGCCGCCAGACGGGTAGAGGGTCGATCGGCGCGGGCAGTGCAGTCCGGCACAGGCAGCCCGCGGCTGCCGTGGCGAGCTGCACGGCGAGACGAGCCTCTGGCCATGGAGGAGCGTTCGGTCGGGCGGGGCGGGGTGGCGAGGAGGAGGGCGGCAGAGAGGGCGAAGTGGACGGGCTAAATTGGGGCGACGAGGGCGTGGACGACGAGTGGGATGAGGGTCTCAACGAGGTGGACGAGGCGGCGGCGCTCGAGCCACACCTCAGCCTCGACGAGCCCGTCCTCGTCGACCGCGGCGCGGCGGGCGAGCGGCGCGGCTCGGTGCGAGGCTTCGTCAGAGGACTACCCCCGCGCGTGGTGGTGAGCATCGAAGAAGGCGGGGAGGTGGAGCTCGAGCGTAGCCGACTGACGCGCGCCTCGTCCCTCGAAGTGTGGTGCTAGCCTCGAAGGTACAAGCTATGCTAGTAGCCTCTTAGCTAGCGACGAGTTTTGAGCCGCCGCGCGGCGCGGAATATGTGGTATGTGCCGCCACATTTCCCGTGTATGTCACAGCTCACAGGGAAGCAGAGCTTGTATTTTGACAGTTTATTTATAATGTATTACGGCTTACGGGGTTACGCTTCTGTGCTCTCGCACGAAAGGCGGCACCACAGACCACACCTCACCCCGCTGCCCCCCGTGGCCCGTGGCCGTGCAGCATGCAACTGCGCGAGAAAAAAAAGCTAGCGGCGGCCGCCTGGCCGGTCTCGGACCCCTTTGCGATCCTTCCATCGGTGCCACGTATCATCCGCCGCATGGGGTGCGCCGAGCCCCCACCACGCGGTCGCGCCGTCGATCCGCCTCACTGCAGCGCCATGAGCTGCTGTAGCTGTTGCTGCTTGTCTGCCGGCAGCTTGCTCGCCGCCTGCTGGAGCGCCGCCGGCTGAGCGGCGCCGAGCTGCGACACCGCCGAAGCGAAGTAGCGCTGCGGCGTGTGCTCCGCGTACAAGTCCGCCTCCGCCTCGGCTGCAAACGAGAGCTGCACGAACGCTGCCGCATAGCCGCCGCCGCCGCCGCCGCCGCCGCCGGCAGCGTCCACCTCGAGGGCGTCCTCCTCCTCCTCGGCGGCGGCGGCGCCGCCGCCGTCGCCGACGCCAGCGTCGGCCGCCAGCATGGAGGCTGCGGCGGAGAGGAGCGCGGCGGCGGTGTCGACGTCGGCGAGCACCTAGAGAGCAAGCGTGCGCATGTGAGCAAGGAGAGGGGGGTA